GTATTGTCCTTTTCATTTAATTCCAGGAATACTTTTATTTCTTTCTTAATTTCTTCTTTGACCCATTCATCATTCAGGAGTGTTTTGTTTAATCTACATGAGTTCATGTAGTTCCTAGGGCTTCTTTCAGTGTTGCTTTTAAGCTTTATTACATTGTGGTCTGATAGAATGCATGGAATTATTTCCATTTTTTGTGTCTTTTGAGGTTTGTTTTATGTCTCAGTATGTGGTCAATTTTAGCTAAAGTTCCATAGCGTACTGAATAGAAAGTATATTCTGTGGTGCTTGAGTGGGATATTCAGGAGATGTCTGTTAGGGCCTTTTGATGTATGGTATTATTCAATTCAGATGCCTGTTTATTCTTTGTCCAGTTGACCTCTCTAATGGAGACAGTGAGGTACTTAAGGCCCCTATATTGCTGAGCTGAGGTTAATCTGTGTCTTAAAGTTCTGTAGTATTGTTTTTATGAAATTGGGTGCATCGGTGTTTGATGCATATATGTTCATGATTGTAATATCTTCTTAGTCAGTTGTTCCTTTGGTCAGAATGAAGTGATCCTCTTTATCTCTTCTGATTAGTTTTAATTTGAAGTCTATTATGTCAGATATTACAATTGCAACTGCGGCTTTTTTCTTAGTGCTGTTTGTTTGGAATACTTTGTCCATCCTTTCACCTTAAGGTAGTGCCTGTCCTTGAAGGTGAGATGCGTTTAAGACAACAAAAATATTGATTTTGTTTATTAATCTATTCAACTTGCCTGTGTCTTTTGATTGGGGAGTTCAGGCCACTGATATTTAAAGTTGTTATTGAAAGATGTGTATTGGTTTCTCTCATTTTAATTTTTGTGTGCATTCTTAGTCTATTCTTGTGTTTCCACAATTACACCTTTATTTAGTCTCTTTCTGCTGCCTCTTGGGTGTAGTCATTGCTTTCTTCCATTTCTTGTAATGCTTCAAGTATTCTCTGAAGGGCTGGTTTTGTGGACATAAATTCTTTCAGCCTATTCATGTCATGGAAGATTTTTCTTTCCCCTTCAACTATAATAGACATTTTTGCTGGGTAAAGTATTCCGGGTTGGAATCTATGATCATTAAGAACTGGGAATACTTTTGTCCAGACTCTTCTGGTTTTCATAGTTTGCATTGAAAAGTCACTCGTAATTCTGATGGGTTTTCCTTTATATGTGACTTGTTTTACTTTTGCTGCTTTCACTATTCTCCATTTGTTCTCATTTAGTGTTTTTACTGTGATATGTCATGGGAAGTTTCTTTTCTGGTCCTATCTATTTGGGTGTTCTATGTGCTTCTTGTATTTGTATGGGGATGTCTTTCCTTAATTTTGGGAAATTCTCTTCTACAATCCTGTTTAAAGATCTGGTCAATACCATTAACCTGAAATTCTTCTCCTTCCTCTATGGCTATGATATGTAGATTTGGTTTTTCATGGTGTCCCACATTTCCTGCATATTCCATTCCTGGGTTTAAAAAAATTTTTACATAATCTTTGCTTAAGTAGTCCAATTCTTCAACTTCATCCTCGCGTTGATCTGTTTTCCATTTCATTCATCCTAGTGGTGAGGCTTTCTTCTGTTGTTTCAAGTTGGCTTACTGAGTTTTTCACTTCCTTCTTCATTTCAGCCTGAGTTTTCTTCAATGTTTCTATCTCTTTTGTGAGTTCACTCAGAAGTTTATCCATATCTTCTTTTAGTTCTTTGATTTGTTTCTGTGTTCTTTAAATTCATTGAATTCCTTGATCATGTTTATGACTGCTCTTTTAAATTCTGTATCCTGGGTTATCTCTAGAGGGCTCTCCTTGTAGACCTCTTCTACAGGACTGGTGGAGTTTTGTGAGAACATATTGTTTTGGTTTTCCTTTTTTTTTCCGTTGTGATTTTGGCATGTGAATTTCTTTTGTCATTTGTGATTCTGGTATGAAAATCAAGCCTCCTTTCGTTGAGTTGAAGTTTGCTTCTCTTGTATTATTGGTGTGCCTTAATTGTTTTCTTATTGGGTATGCAGAGCTGGTTGGTCTGGGTTTCAGTTTCTCTCAGATTTTATTTTAGAGGGAACTGATAGCTTCAGATCAGCTACTCAGGAGCTCCCACAGAGGCCCAAGTCAGGCTCCAGTCAGGTAGGCTCAGGCTTCCTTCTAATGTTTAGACCCCTACTAGTGGTACTCAGAGTACAATTTGGGAAGTTCCCTAAGGGGAGGCTGGATCTAGGTGTTCTCAGGCAGTCTGCTGAGTTCTCAGCTCCTACTCCAGGCAGGGGCCAGATCAGGCACTCTCAGGTTGTCTGCTAAGGTCTCTCTGAATTTTTGTGAATTTCACACAGTATATTTTGATCATAGTTAAACCCCTCTCCCATATCTGCACCCCTCTTACAGCATACCCGCCCCCCGCCTTGGATTTTATGTACTGTCATATATATTAAGGCCTATGGAGTCAAGTTTGCATCCTCAAATGTCCTTTGGTGTGTGTGTCTATCCATTGGAGCCTGATTAACCTATCTAGTGTCACATCCCTAAAGAAAACTGACTTTTCCTCTCTCAGTAGTTATTGGTTACCAATATTTCCTCAGCTGAGACTGGGGATTCTTCCCACTTCCCCTCTTCTATGCTGGAATTTTGTTTGGCTCGAGCTTGCAGAAATCTTTGCACAAATACTTTAATGTAACATTTACTGCCATAATTTAAACAAACTGAAAACAATGAGCACATAGTCCCTTAGTTAATATGCTAACTTTAAAAACTGAATTAATAGGGGCTGAAGAGATGGCTTAGTGGTTAAGAGCACTGACTGCTCTTGAAGAGGACCGGATTTGAATCCCAGCACCCACATGGAGGCTAACAACCATCCATAACTCCAGTTCCAGGGGATCAAATACCCTCTTATGATCTCTGCAGGCTTTGCATGACCCAGATGCACTTACACACATGCAAGCAAAACACATACATAAAATAAAAATAAAAAATATTTTTTAAAAAATGGAGTCAATAACAATATACCTGGAAAACTACTATAGCCAGAATAACAAGAGTAAATCAAAGTCATTCAGTTGAGGTAAAAGTAATTTAGTATATCTGGCATACAGTCTGACAAAGGTCAAAGCCAGCAGTTCTTCTAAGGAGAAAAGTTTCATAACCCCTTTTACCCAAGGCTCAGTGACCATCACAGAACAGGGGGTAGGAAAATTCTAAGAGCCAAAGGTAAGGGAGGATCAGAGAGAAGCAGTGTCTCCTGTACATGACAGGACCAGTAGACTCATGAATCCACACAGCTGTGGTTATCTGCACAAGACCTGTGCCTAGCATGGAAGAAGGAGGGGTTCACGAGCCCCCACCCCTAACTGAGGAGTTATGGACAGTTGATGACTATGGATGTACCACAGTGGTAGAGCCCTAACCTACTCTATGTGAGGCCCTCTATTGGGTCCCCGGCACCACAAACAAAACAAACAAGAAACAACTGAAGGTTGAAAGATAATATGGCTTTAAAAACATGTAGGATGGAAGATGTAGCTCAGTGGTAGTGTTTGTTCTGCATGCTGAAAACCTTGGGTTTGATCCCCAGCACATTAAAAGGAAAAAAGAAAAATTCTCATGTTGTATAAATTGTATGTATAAAGGAAAAATAAATAGCAAATTATTAAGTGTTTAGGCAGTTCAAGTTAAAGCTATCTCACAGTATATAAGTACAAAATGTTCTAAGCTGAATAGCTACAATGAAAGCCCCCCACCCCCAACCTTTAACCTTAAAAGAAAATGTATACTTACCTTGAATGAGTCCTCACCAAAGGGCAGGGACTCTCCATAGTATCGATGTTCAGCAAACACTAACATAGCCTCTAGCTCCTCAGCCACATTCCACATGAACCCCTAGGAAGAGTTTACAAATTCACAAGTTCACAAGTTTTTTTCTTAGGATGTAAAGTCCTTTACAGGTCATATGAAATAAATGTTAAACCAGACCCATAGGGCTTTGTGAAAAATTGTGTCATGTATGTGTGTTTCACAAATAAATGCCACAATAGCTGTTTCATTGCTCAACATCAGTTTCACACTGTATTAGAGCAAAAGAAAAATAAGCCCAAGCTGTTCATCTGTTAGTCACTTTAACTCTTATATCAACTCTCTGACCCTAAATCAATATTTTGTGTCAGTGTTCAAACTGTGGTGTACCAAATATTCTGGGAAAGATATGAAGGTATCTAAGTCAGCCACTACTTAAAGACATACACAGATAACATAAAGGAATTAACAGTATAAACAGGCATATCAAACTCCGTTGGGTTTTAATCTTATTTATTAGAAAGTTAACAGTAGCTAACAAGCTTCAGCTGGGCTGCAAAGCCTGTAGAGCACTGGGGTCTGAGATTGAAACAGCACTCTACCTAGAATAACAGCAGGAGTTAGGCAGAGAAGCCACCCTGTGAGTTTGGCATAAAAGGGAAGAAGAGAAGATAGACATGGCAGCGCTGGGTTTCCAGAGAATAACAGTAGGAACCTCATTTCTCAGGAGTTATTTTATTTTCAATACATTTACATTCTTTTTTGTTTCTTTGCTTTTTGGTTTTGGTAGCTTGGTTTTTCAGGCTGAGTGTCCCTATAGAGCCCAGAGTGGCCTCAAACTTACAATTCTCTTGCCTCAGCCCAGGAAATTAAGTTCTTAACATTCTGAAGAAAACAGTGACAATGAGGAATGCACTAACAGCGTAATTGGATTCGTATCTTTACTTTCAATTCTGTTGAGTTCATGGAACATTTACTAAGCTCTCCTGAATACCAGGCACCATGCAGAGTCTGGCACTGCAGAGGGCAGAATTCCCCACTTTACAGCAATTCACAGGCGAGCTTTGGATCCAAATTAGACCATCTTCTAGCCACAGCACTGACAAATGAAAAAGAGAATGTTTTCTTTACGTGTATCCTTGTATATTGTTTTGTTAATAGACGTATTATTAAAAACTGATAAAAAATATAGGCAGTGGAGCTAGCTAATAGAGTATACTATTTTAATTCTCATAAATTTAAGAATAATAAAACAGGAAGTTAAACAAAAATACAGCTGCAACTTTACTTCGGATCCTTCCAACTTAAGTCGAACTTCTCTATTTTTTTTCCTTACTTGTATTGGCTTTATTTCAGTCTTATTCATTAAGTCAATAAATATTGACAGACCATCTACGATATGCATAATATCGTACTAAATAAGCACACAAAAACTCCTACCCTTACACTTACCTCCTGGAGGCCATAATCAAACACTATGTACAATAAGACTCCCAAGTCTATCTGCCTTATAATTAAATTTTCAAAAAGAAAGTGGTTTATTATTGAGACAGGGTTTCATGTAGCCCAGTCTGGTTTTAAACTACATTTCTAGAAGAGCTGGTTTTGAACTCTTGATTCTCCTGCCCTCATTTTCCAAGTGCTGGGATTAAAGAGTATTACAATTCAAAACAGTAGGTGCTTGGTCATGTATACTGCAAAATACTGTTTCCAGTTTATCACTATAAAGGTAAATTATTTCAGGAGAAGAATTTCACAAATGTTCACATCCCATGTGCTAGAGAGCTTTAGTGTCAACTTGACACACCTGGTTTGAGGGAGCCTCAATTAGGGAATTGCCTCCATTGGACTGGCCTGTGGCCATTATCTGTGGGGCATCTTCTTGATTGTTGAGTGATGTGGGAGGGCCCATCCCACTGTGGGTGGTGCCACCCCTGGGCAGGTGGGCCTGTGTTGCATAAGAAGGCAGGCTGAGCAGGGGCCAGGGAAACAAGCCAATAAGCAGCGTTCCTTCAGGGCCTGTGCTGCAGCTCCTGCCTCCAGTTCCTGCCCTGAGTTTCTACCTTGAACTCCCTGATGAACTGTGACCTAGGAGATGTAAGCTGAATAAACCCTTTCCTCCCCAAGTTGGTATTGGTCAGAGTGTTTTGTCATAGCAATGAAGAATCACACTAGGACATACCGTATTATTGCAAAACCAGATAATGTCTCCTTCATTACCAGTGTAGAAAAGAATGGATCCACCATTTTTCTTCCAGTGTTTATCAGCTATTAGGTACCGCTGTTTAAAAGTTTTCACGTTATTAAATCCAAAATGATCAACCTATGATGTTAAAAACAAAACAAGATATAAAAACAAAACAGACCAGTATTAAGGTACCTCAGTCTTCCATTAAAATCAACGTACCCTATAAAAACTTTAAACATTTAAACTGCATTTGGCTTTGTTATTAATGCTAATACTGATGCTACTCTGAAATTGTTTTGCTTATATAGTAAGATGAAGCAGTATTTGTTATGGTGGTCAAGATTTTCAGTGGAAAATAAAAAAATACAATTATAAAATCGTTGCCAGCCCTCAAGGCCTAGTTTCCCTTCTTTGTTTGGGTGTTGAGCATTGAACCTAAGGCCAAAATACACTCTACCAACAGGCTACACCCCTCACCCTGGTGTCGGTCCACAAGGATGGGGGACATTTCCTTAGGTCTCTTTCAAAAGAACCACTTTTCTATGTAATGATACCTTACTCTTGACACGTTTTTGTCTATATTAACCAGAATGGCTTCCTTCATACTATTTTTTTGTAAATGCTCAGTTCTTTAAGAAGAGAGTCATGGAAATAAAATATTATGGAAAGACAAAATGGCAAATAAGAAGGAAATAAGTGATTCATCATTAAGTAGTCCATCATAGAAAAAAAATGTGAGATTCTGTTTCCTGTACTATAAGAGCTTGAAAGGCAGGAGGAATAGAGCAGAGTGTTTGTCTTTCGTAGCATATTGGAAACTTAGAATAATTTCCCTGCTGGGCCCCATCTTTAGACCAAGGGACCTTACCATGCAAGACGACAACAGTTACCACTGCTGTGGTAGAAATTTTAAATGAATACAGTTCTAAATCAATGGTTTGTCATGTATCTGAATATGAGATCCCTTTGCTAATGGTAAAATTTTGTCTTTTATTAAACTATGAGCTTTCCTTTTATTCATTTTTTAAACTAATAATGCCTTTTTTCTTTTAATGCTTTTACTTTTACAGGTCTAACAAGGTCCTCCTGTTTCTGCCTCCACTGTGCTAGGATTAGAGGCATATACCACCACACTCAGCTTAAATTTTTCACAGACATGTTATAGTCTAGTAACAAATGCCTGAGAAAATATGCAAAGTTATTATAAATTCAATAGTGGTTAAAAATATCATCTAAATACACTTGAGAATTATATTGTCTGCTTGGTAGGAAAATGGATTTAAACATTCTCACTAATAACTCTGAAGTGCTCAGTACCTTCCCTCTGACCAAAGACTGGGGGCCTCAGAGGGGCAATCATATTCGAAGTTGCCAAAATGTTATGAAGCAAATAGTTTCTGCTCTACTGTTAAAAAAAGAGATGGAAATATTCCACCCCTGAAGCAACTCAAACGTTCCAACAAACAAAATGAAACAAAACAAGCCCTTGTTTTCTTACATAAAGGTCATTCAAATGGCATCACCTGCTGGCTAAACAGCTCTACAAACCCATAGCATGACTGATAATCCCCTAGGGCTTCAGGCAGTAGACCCCTGCAGCTTTCAGATGAAAGTACCACTGTGAAGATTAAATACATAAATGGTAGGAAATTTTCTAACGTCAGAGAGTGCTATTGTACAATAAGTAGGAAAATGCCCATTAACTTTTAAATTAGATCATAAATGTAGGACAGGATGAAAACCTAGATCTCAAGGCCAAGCTCTTGGATAACGGATTATGCTGCAGAGATATCAGTTGTTTAAACCTCCTCCTCCTCCCCTCTTCTTCGCTTCTTTTAATATTTTCTTTCTTTTTAGACAAGCTCTCTCTTACTCTGTAACCCAGGCTGGCCTTGAATTTGAGAACCTCCTGCCTTAATCTCCTGAGTGCTGGGATCACAGGCATGCACCACTATACCCAACCTAAATCTTTCTTTTTTAAAAAAATTACTTTATTATTTTTATTTTATGTGTATGAATGTATTGCCTGTATGTACATAAGTGCACCTATGTCATGCACTGCTCACAGAGGTCAGAAGAGGGTGTTGGATTCCCTGGAACTGGAGTTACAGATGGTTGTTAGCCACCAAGTGGGTGCTCGGGATCTAACTCAGGCCCTCTGCAAGAGCAGTCACTGCTCTTAACCACTGAGCCATTTCTCCAGACCCTTAAATCTTTCTTAAATACATATTCATATCACTAAAGTCTAACAATTCGTTCCCTTATTTTATTTATTTTTGTTTGTTTGTTTGCTCTGTAGCTCACATTGACCTGGTACTTGCTATGTAGCCCAGGCTGGCTTTGAACTCAGAAATTCTCCTGCTTCAGCCTCCTGTGTGCTAGGATTACAAGTTGTGTCACCATATCTGGTTCTATTTTCCTTCTGTTAAAAGTCAGAGGATATTGCCACGCCTTTAACCCCAGCACTTGGGAGACAGAGGCAGGCAGATCTCTGTACGTTTGAGGCCAGCCTGATCTATACAGCAAGGTCCAGGCCAGATGGGGCTACAGGGAGACCCTGTCTCAAAAAGACCAAAAATAAAAAAAGGTCAGAGGATACAACATATATCAGAAGTCAGGGCAGTGGTTATCACTGCAAGGGATTAGGGACTTCTGGAGTTAGAATGACACATGTCTCTATGGCATAATAAAATAAATTTATAAACAGATTTTTTTAAACATTCAAAATTTCACTGAAGATGGAATAAAGTAAGTATGACCTTTACATTTCTATTTGACCATACAATTACATATTAATTGTAGCACTAAATCATAACAATATTACTTTTTCCACTTAAAATATTTATTTTAGGGAATGGTGCAAAAAAAATTAATACTAAATAAAGGCATTACAGAAAGAACTTAGCAAAAGTGATGAGAGTGCTAACAATCACACCATAATGAGGTTGAGTTCTGTGTAGAAAGTGCTAGAATCCAGAAGCAGAGGCACTGTCTCACCCCGGGAATCATGGCAAGCACAACCTAGAAGGTAACATGCAAACTGAACCTAGAAACAAGAATGTTCTCAGGTGCAGAAGAGCATTTCAAGCAAACAGAGCAAGAGCATGGGAAAACTTCGGTCCACTGTGCAGAGCTAGTTTAGAGTCAAAAACTGTGGCAAGACAGATATGGTTTATGAGGGGAAGAGGCAAGAAATGAGATTAGATTCATCATCTGATGAAAATGAAAATCTTCCCATAAACAGAAACTTAGCTGAAATCTAAGATTCTTTCTCTAAACCATCAGTGAATGAAATAGGATCACCAGAAACAGAGACTTGAGGTAGGACTTTTCTCTTTGTCTCCTGCCAAGCCATCAGTGACTAGAACATCAGGCATATGGTATATCTATACACAGGGAATAAATGAATATATCATGTACCCTGGCTCTGCAATTACTATAAAAACAGACTCAGTCCAACTTCAGAGAAAAGCATGACCCAAAAGAATGAAAATGAAGCACAAAGTTTTCGAGATCAAGTTTGTGCAGGAAGGCTCACCATAGTTTTGTTACTGGCTTTGGAAGAGTTGCAAAACACTATAGTGAGATATGCCTTTTGTCACAGATCTTATGCCTTTAGAAGAACCCAAGCCTAAACTGGAAGGCCACTCCTTGAAAGTTCAGTCCGTCCAGCTGCTGAGGAAGTGGGAACTGCCATGCCCTTAGCTACAGGGAGAAAGTATGAATTTATATCATCCTGTTTTATTAAATAATGACAAACAATATAGACAAGAGACCAGTACAGGGTAGGGAGAGAGGACTAGTCAGCCTTCTGTCAAAGTATACTATCAAAAATATTTCTGACCTTGTGACTGAATTATAGTCAAAGTTTATAAGGCTGGAAAGACTTTAAAGGTATGACTCTTAGTCACAATTAGGTAACACAAATTTTACCACAATAACAGCATCATATAAAATGTATATCATGATTCATCCAGCAGCATATGAGTGGTTGGTGAACCCAAATGTATTACAAAACATTGTTGGGATCAATCTACAGAACTTGTTTTCCAACACAGCTTGATAAAGAGATATGAGAGAGGTGTGATGCCCATGATAGGAAGTAATCTGTTCAAAATATAGGTGAGAGAGAGATCCTGAGGCTGGGGAGGCCCTGCAGAGGCAGGAGAGGAGGGGTCCACAGCATAGACAAAGGGTGGAACTTGAGCAGGATGAAGAAATCCCCTCCCAGCACTCGGGAGGCAGAGGCAGGCGTATCTCTGTGAGTTCAAGGCCAGCCTAGTCTACATAGTGAGTTCTAGGACAGCTGGAGCTACAGGGAGACCCTGTCTCAAAAAGACCAAAAAAAAAGGGGTGGGGTCAATATAATTCTTTAAGAGTCCATGTGTATTGCTAAAGGCTACATAACAAGAAACAATGCCAGACAGGAGATACCTTCCTTTGAGTTGTTGGCCAGGGTGGCCCAAGAGACTCCCAGACAGTAAGCCAGCAGAGAACTGGGAAAATGAACAGCAAACCCTAATCTTATCTAAAGGAATATTGGCAACTGATTGCTGCTAGATGAGGAAGAGTTGATCTTCCTAAAACAAGGAACTCTAGATAGGCTGACTAGATTCAGCAGATGGACAAGCACTGGGGAACGGCTGGGGGTGCCGACAACACAGTGGACAGTAACAGGGATGACAGAGTATATGGACTCCAGTGGGGCGAGGGAGACTATGGGAGGGTGCCATTTGGGATGTGGGCATATAGATGAATAAGATGGTTTGGGATGTTCTGTATGAAATACACACACACAAAAATCAACAAATAAAAAAATTAG